ACCTCTTCTGTAGGTGTGGCCTGCTTTCCGGGTCCACTGGTGGAACCTCTTCTAACCGGTTCAGTCGATTTGACGAACCGGTTGTACCGAATAGGTGCGAACTGGTAGGAACCCACCTCTGAAGCCCATGCAGCTAACAAATCACCTGTGGTTTTGCCAGAAAGGCTCCATTATGTTTGTTTATGTGGTTCCCCCCCCCCCTCCCGCAATTTCTTCTGGGAAGCTGAAGTGGAAGCACAGCTTGTAGGACAGTTGTTGGTGGATCCATTGGGCAGAGCCATGCATGCAGAGCTATTGCTGTTACTAAACAAACTTTGTGGCTTAACGCAACGTACAGGTGCAGCTTCTCGTGTTGGCCTGCAAGCTGGGAGTAACTCAACCACTGGGCTAGGATTATGCTTCAGAATTCTTCTTTGCTTACGCCAAAGGGAAATTTACCAAGGCTGGTCCTTGAAAGGCAACTTTCCTTGTCTGTGTCTTTAGTTATTTGAATTAGAGAAACTGAAGTGGTATGAACTTTTTCCAGGGCTATGCATAGCTACTATAGCCATCTATAGTATTACTATTGCCGGCTCAGCGACAAAAGGGTGACCGACAAAAACGCGCCCGATGAAACCGCAGTTATAAAACCACGAGTTCTAAACCGCGCTGACGAATGAGCGCTGAAGCGCGCCAACAACAGTGCGCTGACAGAAGCGCGCTCTAAACATAACCCTAACCCTAACCCTTACCTTAACTTAAATTGCGCTTCTGTCTGTGCGCTGTTGTCGGCGCGTTGATGACGTCCCGTTTTAGCGCTGTGGTTTTGTCGGCACACTTTTGTCGTGCGCGCATTTGTCGGGTCACGCTCTTGCCACTGGTCACCTGGAATCCAAGGAAGGATAAACTTCTAGCAGCTGCAAACCAAGTTTTTAACTCTGGTTAAAATTACATTTCCTGGAAGATTTGCTCATGTGTAGCTAATATTTGGGGACATTCGAATTTTAGAATTTTTCTGCAGTTATTGCGTGTTCTTTTTTCCCCAGCATGATGCCCAATTGGTGGTCTTGCTTAGAGGGCATTCTGGAAAAAAAAGGACTCAAGAATTGGGAAGTCATCCACACTTGATAGATTGTAAGACAAGCGCTAAAACTGATGCCGGATATTCTGTCTTCCTAGGATTGACATGTACGTGGAAGGAACGACGGACCTGAGTCTCTTTATTTTGTCCTTCCCTTTCTTGACACCGCAGGATCAAGAGCGCCAACTGGTTACCATTAAAGATAAAGCAACAAAAAGATATTTTCCAGTTTATGAAAAGGTAAGTGTTACTAAAGAAATGTTTTTAGTTCAATGATCACCCACCATAGCTTCCAGGTGTTTTACAGTTGCACTGCAACTCCAACAATCTCTTGCCTGGGTGGAAGGAATGAAAACATCTGGAAAGCAATAGCAGTTAGACTTATATACCGCTTCATAGGGCTTTCAGCCCTCTCTAAGCGGTTTTACAGAGTCAGCATATTGCCCCCAACAACAATCCGGGTCCTCATTTTACCCACCTCGGAAGGATGGAAGGCTGAGGTCAACCTTGAGCCGGTGAGATTTGAACCGCCGAACTTCAGCTAGCAGTCAGCTGAAGTGGCCTGCAGTACTGCACTCTAACCACTGCACCACCTCGGCTCCACCTCGGTCAGGTCCCTCACCTCTGTTTTACAGCAGGGATGTGTAGTGGTGGATATTTTTTTCTGTCTGAAGCCTAGATGTCTTGAGAGATGTGCTGAGTCCTACATTCAGAAAATATGTATATCCCAGAATAGAATAGAATAGAATAGAATAGAGTAGAGTAGTTGGAAGGGACCTTGGAGGTCTTTTAGTCCAACCCCCTACTTAGGCAAGAAACTCTATACAATTTCAGAAAAAAAGGTTATCCAATCTCTTCTTAAAAACTTCCAGTGTTGGAGCATTCAAAACTTCTGTAAGCAAGTTGTTCCACTGATTAATTATTCTGTCATGAAATTTCTCCTTAGTTGTAGGTTGCTTCTCTCCTTGATTAGTTTCCACCCATTGCTTCTTGTTCTGCCCTCAGGTACTTGGGGGAATAGCTTGACTTCCTCTTCTTTGTGGCAGCCCCTGAGATATTGGAATACTGCTATCATGTCACTCCTAGTCCTTCTTTTCATTAAACTAGACATTCCAGCAACTGTTCTTTATATGTTTTTGTCTCCAATCCCATAATCATTTTGTTGCTCTTCTCTGCACTCTTTCTAGAGTCTCAACATCTTTTTTATGCTGTGGTGACCAAAACTGGTTGTGGTATTTCAAGTGTGGCCTTACCAAGGCAGTATAGAGTGTTATTAACACTTCACGTGATCTTGATTCTATCCCTCTGTTTATGTAGCCTAGAACTTTGTTGGCTTTTTTGGCAGCTGCTGCACACGGCTGGCTCCTATTTAAATGGTTGTCCACTAGGACTCCAAGATCCCTCTCACAGTTACTACTGTTGAGCAAGGTACCACCTATACTGTACCTGTGCATTTCGTTTTTGTTGCCTAAATGTAGAACCTTACTCTTTTCAACTTTGAATTTCATTTTGTTAGATAGGGCCCAATGTTCAAGTCTGTCAATATCCTTCTGTATCTTAAGCCCATCCTCTGGAATGTTGGCTATTTCTGCTAGCTTGGTATTGTCTGCAAATTTGATGAGTTCCCCATCTATCCCCTTGCCCAAATCATTGATGAAGATGTTGAAGAGTACTGGGCCTAAAACAGAGCCTTGGGGTCCCCCACTGCATACTTCCCTCCATGTAGATGCAGTTCCATTGAGGACTACAGTTACAACTCCATCTGTCTAAGCCACATTCTTATCAGGTAGTAGGTTATGGTCTACTTTATCAAATGCCTTACTGAAGTCCAAGTAAATTATATCCACAGCATTCCTCTGGTCCACTAATTTTATCACTTTGTCAAAGAATGCAATAAGATTAGTCTGGAATTATCTGTTTTTGACAAACCCATGTTGGTTTTTGGCTATTACTTTGTTTGCTTCTAGGTGTTCGCTGCTTCATTAAACTGTGGAAGGATATATACTGTAATTCTTAAGTGCTGTTGCTATAATGGCAAGGGAAGCCCGAGGTGGCGCAGTGGTTAGAGTGCAGTACTGCAGGCCACTTCAGCTGACTGCAGTTCTGCAGTTTGGCTGTTCAAATCTCACTGGCTCAAGGTTGACTCAGCCTTCCACCCTCACCTCATTTCTGGGTGAAATGAGGACCCAGACTGTGGGGGCAATATGCTGACTCTGTAAACCGCTTAGAGAGGGCTGAAAGCCCTATGAAGCGGTATATAAGTCTAACTCCTATTGCTATTGCTATAAATATGGCTATAGTGCTCCTTCTGAGTAATATATGGCAGAGAAACCATCATTTCAACACTTGTTTTGCACACTAAACAAGGGTCATTCATTTCTTAATTAACTCATAGAAGATCTCTCCACCAGGACCTTGGAGACCACTGAGTGGCTGCTGTTAGATTTGGTCTAATCCTCTTGTCCTTACAGGTGCTGAAGGATCATGGACAAGATTTCCTTGTTGGCAATCAGTTTAGCTTGGCAGACATTCACCTCTTTGAAACTATTTTAATGGTAGAGGAAAAAGTCCCCACTATCCTGAATGAATTTCCTCAATTGCAGGTATGGGAAAATAACTGAAGTATTTATTTACTATATCTTAGTATTCCTTTAAATTTAAAGCCTATGTCATGAGCTTGGAGGAGGATTTTATCGAATGGATTAAACGTGGTCAGTTTTACGTGTGTCTATTGTGACTTGTGTCATAATTGTAGCATTTTGATTGTTTAATGCTAACGCCCAGTTGATGAAAGTGTTTTCATTCTCTCCACTAGGCTTTTAAAACAAGGATTAGTCACATTCCCACAATTAAGAAGTTTCTGGAACCAGGAAGCCAGAGGAAACCTATCCCTGATGGTAAATACGTGGAGACAGTGAGAAATGTCCTCCAGATGTATCACCAGCTGAAGCCCAATCCTTGAGATTCCATCAAGTTGTTGTGATGATTTCAGTTACAGAATTCTGTAATACGCCCAAGACCAAAGCCATGCTTTCACATTGGAGACACACAGTTTGCAAGAGTATCGCACAACCCTTGCAAGATGGATTATAGACTGTGAAAATAGCTTCTTTTGTAGATGATAGTTGTAGTAAAGAAAGACGATCAAGATTGTAAAGGGATTTGATATAAGCATTTTGACTGATCAAGATCAACGTTCACTAAGAGAATCATATTTTTAAGGGGTGTTTTAATTCTAGATTATATGTAATCTCTGTTTGGGGTGTGTGTGTGTGTAACTCAATAGCCTTCCTGAAATTATACGATTGAGATTTAGTGAACAATCTCCAAAATAGGAACTCAGAAGTTTTGTTAGAAAACGAAATGTGGGTGCGTCATTTTCCTATCAAGTAAACCAAGGATGAAAGCCTTTTGAAGAAACTCTGTCCCACCATTCAGCATAATGTTAAAACATAGTTACCCAGGCAACTGCAGCCTTCATCACCACCACCAAGATTTTTATGTTTTTTTGTTAAATGTGATCTATCAAAAGTTGCCTGCTTTTAAAGGGTATTGTGAATCATTGCATTGTATGAAGAACCATAATATTCTTACTAGTCCAATAAAATAAAGCTTAACAAGAAACAGGGAAAATAAACCATTTTCTATCTAACATTGTATTTTATTATCAAAGGTTTTGATAATGGTCGTTCAAACTTTCTTCTTTTTCCTTTCTCCTGTCTTTTTGTTGTCCCAAACTATAGCGTGTTCCTTGATTCTGATTCAAAGTGGTTTGCAAACTTAGCCATTGTGGCATATGCAACGAACCATGATTTAGCGCAGTGTTAACTACACCACGGCATAAAAAGTGCTTGAATACATTTAGGATTGAAACACATATGTCCAGATTTCCATAGTATTTTATCAATGTCTTAAAAGGTATACATGTCAATATTTTAACACATTTACATTTAAATTGTGGTATTAGTTTGGTGACTATTTTTTATCATATTGGCTTCTTGTGGCCGTGCTTTGGAATTTTATTCTATTCCTAAACAGCTATTTTTCTTGTACAGAAAAATATTTTTTGCCTAATTGCCCACAACAAATGCTCGTTTCTGATTTTATCATAGTCTCTTGAGCTTGTAATCTTTTTATGAGTGACAATTATAGATAAAACATAGTGTACTGTAGTTTTTAGGACCATTTATTCATTAAACTCCCTGAATGCAATTTACAGTTTTATAATTCAAGAATACCTACATCAGGTGACTATTTTAGAATCTTAAGCATAATGCATAGGATTTCCAAGAGTACCATGATTCATAGGTTAAAATGTAGGATTCCTTTCACACAATTAACTAATGTAACAAATGAAGAAAATAGCTTTCAGTTAAAAAAAAAAGGGTAAATTTAAGGAAGCAGTATAACCCTTCATCTAAAGCAAATACGGGCCTCTTAAGAGAGCCAGCATATCCAGTCTTCTAAGGCCTTTAGCATTTTTCTTCTGGACTCTGCCAGCTCTCTAACTGATTAATATTCGGGTTAAAAAATATGTCTATCATAACTAGTGACACACCTAACATAACTCTCATGCACATCGGTGTCAGTGGTGGGTTTCAAAAATTGTTGGAACCTACTCTGTGGGTGTGGTCTCCTTTGTGGGAGTGGCTTGCCGCCCATGTGACTGAATGGGAGTGGCTTGCCGCCCATGTGACCGGATATGAAATTATGAATTAGTACTTAGGTCGGTCCAAGTAGCTGTTCAGAAAC